AAGCTGCGCCAGGGGAGGTTTAGGTTGGATATTAGGAAAAATTTCTTCACGGAAGGGGTAGTCAAGCATTGGAACAGGCTGCCCAGAGAGGTGGTGGAGTCCCCATCCCTGGAAGCGTTCAAAAAATGGGTAGACGTGGCACTTTGGGACATGGTTTAGTCTAGTCTACCCTTAACTGGTTTAGGGTGGACTTGGTAATGTTAGGTTAATGGTTGGACTGGATGATCTTAAAGGTCTTTTCCAACCTAAACGATTCTATGATTCTATTCTATGACTTACAGTACTAAGTGCAAATATATTTGGTGGAGTTACTCCTTCTCATGTGTTTTTGAAACTGTGAATAATACTTACATTTCAGTAGGTGTAATCCCTGAAGTAGATTAATAGCCTGCAAAATGTCATTGTTAAATTAAAAACTGCCTTCTTGTTTCTGCTAAGGAATGCAAAATAGCTCTCAGAAAAAGGAAGAACATTCTGCTGCCCAGTTTGCTACGTCCAACTGTTTAAATCTGAAAAGTAATTGAGCAGAAGTGTTAGAAAAGGGGACTAGAGCGGCATCCTGGAAAGAGGGAAACAATCTGACAGCTGCCTCGTAGGGGTTTTCCATACCACTCTGAATCAGAGGGGTGGAACTGCAGTCTATGAAAATTGAAGCTTCTAGCAAATCTTCTGTTTTCTATTCACTTATTTGTTTAAACAGTCTTTGTAAAGGCAGTTACATTCAAGTGTACAGCAGTCTTTGTGAGAAGCCCTTACTTTGCAAGAGACTGAATCCACAGAGGACGGAGGATGATTCAACCCACTTTGCTCAGTTGAATCACCTTACGTGTCTACAGAAGCAGTTGGAAGGGTGAATTCTGTAAAGCAAAGAGTATATTTGCACTCTGGTATTACTTAAAAAATGTTTGGCACATGTGATACACCACCACATATTATATCAACATATACTGGTACAACAAATAAATATGCTGCTATGGATGTGTAATGGCTGTATGAAAATATAAGAGGACTTCATTATACTAATATTTTCTGTCCTTTTCTTACGTGTATACATTCTGACCTCTGCTTGTTTGTTCCTCTTGAAGGAAGAAGCAAGACCTCTATCTTTCATCAGATAGCAGAGAGTGTGAAAATAGCTGATAAACTTTTAAGATATTCTTGAGTGGTTCTATGTGTAAAAGAACAGGATGGGAATTTTAGGAGGACAGATCAGGAACCAGTGCTGATTTTGTGTAAGGATGAAGGTGGGCTGTGGGAAGCAGACATGACTAGGTGGTGATGCTCAGGAACAACTTCACGTTGTGGGAGGAAAAATCAGAAGATAACCACTCTTTTCCTACCTATCAATCTGAAAATGCTCATGAGGAAGGTAAAGGAAACCTTTTTGCTGTGAACCAGGCAAGGCTGCAGATTTAAACAAGCTCCTGGATCATTGGGTATTTGCCAACTAACTTCCCCCTGTCAAACCATGGAGGGCCAACTGAGAGAAGGCAAAGAAAAGTCAACTGATTCTGTGGCTCCCTGTCTGCTAGCTCTGAGCTGCTTCTTGTCTCCTTCCTGAAGAGCCAAACCAGCTCCTAAACCTGAGCATTTGCTAGATCTAGCTCAAGTTCTCTTGCCCTGACATTTGCAGGCAAGCTAAGCATTAATTTAACATTTAGGATGTTTACTGGAAGTGGAGAAAAGAGGAGCCCATTCACACATCTTTTCATCTTCCTGTCCAGTCCACACCTCAGTGCATTCATTCCCTCTAGAAAATGAAATCACATGTACAAAAAAATCTCCGCACTGTGTGCTTTTTCCTTAACAGCCATCTTGCAGATTACAGCTCTGGGAGAGACGCGTTATTGTCCACAAGGCAGAAGGTTGCAGTCATCCTGTGTTTACCTGTCCTCAGTCACGCCTCTCGGACTAGGGCTGCGATAGCCAGTGCAGGGGTCAGCTCCGGAGGAGCACTAAGTGCACTTCGAGGTTTGTGCGCTCTCCAGCCTCTCGGGGCAAAGGAGAAAGCAACTGCTCGTTTTCTCCTCAGGACTTTTTCCCTTTAGGCATGGGCAAAAGGAAAGTATAGCCTTTTAAAATGCCTCCTGATACCCATCAGGGGTTTGCTTTCACTGTAACCTGGAATTAACTGTCTGTTTTTTCTTTTTCTTTTTGGTTCTTCAGAGGAAGCCCTGTGCTAAGGCAGCTGCATGGATAGGAGTTTTTGTTTTGACCTGAAAATGAGTGGATTACTCTTTGAATGCAGCTTTCCAAAGCAAAGATGTGAATGTTGAGGTTTTTATTAATGAATTGACACCTCCTGTGAACAGCTTCTTCACCCTGGGGTGCTCACCTCCTGTTTTGTGGCAGGAAGAGCACTTGCAGCTGATGAAAGGCTGGAAAGATCCCTCTGGGACAGCTTAAGAGCGCCTAGGTTTGCCATAGAGAAAGGTTTACTTTAGGGCATTTGAAAAATGCCTCATTAGCAGCTGATGACTTAGCAGGGCAGCTTTTGTTGCAAAAACCTACAGCTGCCCCTTGCCAGGAGCTCAGGGTGGCTCTTCTCTCCTGTCCCTTTCATTCCTTGGTTGCAAGCACTTTCCCTTGATGCTCACCAGCACTAGGTTATCTCAGTCCCGCAGGCAGCCTCTCGCTCACATTGTTACAGTGTCTGTTTGCCAGGCTGGCTCTGCCTGCTTTGCTGAACACTCCTTGTTTTAAGTGTCAGGATGGGTGTTTAACAATCCCTGCCCTTCCTGCTGTTCTTCCTCCCCAGCCCTGCCACACTCTACACTTGTTCTTCCTCACCTGCTACAGCCACCTTCCTTTGCATCTGCCCTTACCTTGACTGATTCTACGGCAAAACAGTAACTCCTGTGTAAAGACTGGAGCGGGCGTGCAAGTATTTCAGGAACCTTTTTGATTACCTCTGGATTTGCTGCCTTTTTCTGCTTGCTGCCTGCTGTGATGTGGCAGTTTCTCTTTCCAGGCAGCGTGTGTTGGCAGATGTTGGCATTAAGTGCAGCTTTCCTCTCATTTCTTCTGTAGCTCTTGACGTATCCATTGGAACCAGCTTGGTGTCTAAGCAGACTTTGCTTTTCAAAGTCCCTCTTACTATTGCTGCCTTTCATTCTGTGTCTTTTATTGTCTGCTTTCCCTGTGCTGGAGAGGTTAACTGTTTTTGTGGGTGCTTTGCTATTGCCCGAAACAGCCAGCAGCCAGTGGGGAGAGAGGAACCTTGCTGTGTCACTTGCTCCATGTTGCTCGCAGGCACTCCTGTTCGCAGCACTCCCGTGGTGCAGTAGCACGTCTGTTGCCAGCTACGCTGCCTGCCATCTTCTCCTCTGGGAGTCTTTGAGAGACTCCTATGTTTAGTCCTGTGCTGATGTTACCTGGGCTGCTTCCAAGAACAACACAGAACCGCTTCCTCTATTCCTAAAACTGACACAGAATGAAAACTACAGCAGGATTATTTTTAGTTCTGTAAAAGTGCAGCTGAAGCAGCATTGCTAGACTCTGCCTGGCCAGAATTTGCTGTTTCAGATTCTCCCTGATAGGCGAGGATTATGTGTGTGTGGCAGAGGGTAGTCTAAAGAGTGTCTACCTGCTGTTCCTTGACACTTACGTTACAGTTTTGGATTGGACCGTCAATACAAATGAGTCTGAAGTCCGAGATTAGTTTCCGGTAAATGTTCATCACAAAACCACTTAGTTAAGGAACAGGACGAGAAGTGCAGATCATAGCTGAGCTGCACTTGCAGAGCTGGGTGCATGCATGCAGCTCCTGACGAGCAGAGCTGCTGCAGTTTGAGACCACGGTGGATTTGGCAGGGCTGGGAAGAGTTTGCGACTGCAGCAGCAGGAAGATCTGCAGCTCCTGCCTGAGCTGTATTTGCTGGGCTGTGTCACACTGGTGGGGACTGGAGGGGGAAGCTTCCTGCTTGCTTTGTGTTCAGTAGTTCTGTACTCTGTAAACAGTATGATATACCTGAGCATTTCTAACATGCAGGGTATCCTATGTGCTGTACACCCTCAGGATGTTTGTATTAAAACATGAAATGAAAATGAGAACTTTTATTGGCCAGTACCATGATATCTGCTTGTAGCCCTCTCATGGCCACCTGCCTGTTTTTCGGTTTTGATTCACCTTCAGTGGTCTGGTACCCATAGTACCTTGCAGCAGTCTCTGTGATTTGAAAGGAAAGTAAACACTTGTGTTCTTGCCCCAGAAATGCAAGCGTTTACCCCACTTTCTTGTTATTGGGATCAGATGGTACACTCTTGGTTTGCATCCATTCAGGCTGCTGCCTCTTTGCTGAAGAGTGAGGTAGCAGTGGTCTGGTCTCTGCGTGCTTCCATAGCCCTGTATATTTGCACAGTTCAGCACTTAAATCTCCAGCGCTTTCTTGTGTAAAAGGAGGAGTTGATGCTGGAGTTGTGTCGCCGCCTGAACGGATGCATTGCCTAGCATTTAAATCTGGGGGTTTCTGTGCCGAAGTAGCCACAGAGGCAGGATTCGTAACCAAAAATTCATAGTGAGCAGATACTAGATATTATCAGAATTGCAGATATTCTACTACTTAGTTGTTACTACTGTTAGAAAAATCCATCCTGTATCATTAAAATTCTACCATAACTGTGTTCTGTTGTCTCTGCAAGCTGATACCAGTTCAAGCCTGCGTAACCTCAGAGCTGAGCAGCCTCCTTTTGTATTGTCCCCAGCCTCTGCTGATTAGAATCTTGTTTTGCAGAAATGACTTGGTATTGTGTTATGATAAAGTATTTATCCGGCACAGTCAGGACCGGTTTGTTTACCTGATATTATCTAGGTGCTCTAATTCCAGCCAGCAGTCTAAAGTTCACAGGAGGGAAGATGATTTCAGGAAAATGGAGAATCAGACTGGTGATGATGAGTGCAGGGCACTCACAGTAGGGTGCTCAGTCAGCCACGAGGAAAAAGCCTAAAAAGAAAATAGAAAAGCACTAAACAGTTTGTTTTTCTGGCACCTCAGGATGAGATGACCTCAAGTTTGGGCCTTACCACAAAGAAAGCCCTCACAATCCTGAGAGACCAGTTGTCAGCACTGCTGGAGGGGCATAAGAAGGAACGGAAAAAAGTGACTTCATGGAAGGTGAGGCACAAAACAGCACAAGGTTGGGCACTCAGTCTCCCTGTCTCAAAGTAACACTAAAGATTAAATAGAAGTTGGCTGCATTCCTTCCCAGGCTGCTGCTGCAGAGTGTCTGGGTGTAGACTGCTAAAATCCTTGGGACCAAAGCAAGGAATTCCCTAAGGGTATGTTTCTCCCAGCACTTCTCTCCTGGATGCTGGCGCTCTACAGGAGCTTAGCTTCACCTGTGAAGGATCTGAGGGCTTCAAGAGCCACTAGTGGCAGTGTGCTTAGGGGGTCCATATCCGGTGGAAAGAGCGAGCCATGAAGCTCAGCGGTCTCCCCTTGTCCACTATGTTGGTCTGGCGTGTGCGTTGAATACAAAGTGCAAGTGTTTATGCACAGTACTTAAATGCTAAAAGTGTTCCTTGCTTGGTTAGTGACAATGGGGCATCCTGGCACAGAAGCCTTTTCATTCTTCCAAGCAATAGTAAAACAGAGAGTGTTCACCCAGACGCACCAGCTGAGCAACCGTTTGTAGCATTCGCATAACTGTTCTGGGATGCTATTTATCATTTTCAGGGGTTTTACAAAGTTGTATTCACCTTGGAGTGTCAGCTGCTGCCTTCACCCTTTCTCACTCTACTTTTTTTAATGTCTGGCTCTGTATTTCATGAATACTGTCTGCTGCTCTCCTTTTGTAGGAGGTGTGGAGGAGCAGTTTTCTGTACCATGGTAACCGTTGCTCCTGTTTCCACTGGCCTGGTGCATCTCTGATGCTTTTGGTAGTGCTGTTGCTGCTGTGCTGCTATGGGAGCCAGCCACAGGGGAGGTAAGCAAAACATCCTATGCTGGTTAACTGAAGCAAGGTGGCAGTTTTATATCACCTCGACACTGTTTGTGGCTGACATAACAGTGTTGTCCCTTATTCTGTCTAGACATGAGCACACTTGTACTGGTAATTCTGTCCCTTTTGCAAAACTTCAGCCAACTTAACTCTACTTTTAATAGACCCATAGAGTGTCCTATGGAGAGACTGAGATTTTTTTCCTACAGAGTTCCTAGATCTTGAAAAATCCTAAGGCATTATCACAGTTAGGAGGGATTTTGAAACTGGAGAAGTTAGTGGCTCATAGGAGAAGTTACTGTGCTGTCACATGCACCATAGCATGCCTTGACCATATTTGTAAGGGTATTTTTCAGTTGAGACAGGTCCTTTCAGACCTCTCTGGTGGCATTATTCTAAAGAAGAGGTGTGATCACAGCTGCCCTGCTTTTCTTTTTTAGCCACAAGTCTGTGGGACGTAGGAATAAACAACTGAGCAGGTGTGCGTTTATCTCTGTGGGCGGCTGGCAGTGTATTCTGCTCATTTACTCAAACCTCATCTGTTTCTGCTTTCTTCTGTTTTGCTGTGCAAAGCCAAGGTGCTGAGATAGTTAATGCACTGGCGCTCTTCCTCCTTCTCCTCTTGGATCTCTTCATGATCGGGCGTCAAGAGAGGCTGAAGTGCAGAGAGGTGGAGCGGAGACTTCAGACAATCATTGATAAGATAAATGGTAAGGTCTCATTCATCTGTTTCTCATTTGCATTTGTGTTTTCCTCCCATTGGATTTTTCTCCAAACCTGATTGCATGCGTTACTAATTGAGCTTACTAGCCTTCCCCTATGTTACACAGAAACAGACTGTGAGAATTGTGTCCTCCTCACGCCTGTCCTGTAGAATAGTTATTTTGAGCTGTCATGTGGCCATGTGTTTCCAATCTGTGTGTTATCAGGTAGGCGTCTGTTATGTCTGTGCTTTGGAGTAATTTGAATCCTCAGTATCTTACAAAAATATCTGCCTTGCAGCAGATGATGAGAGAAAAATACGTGGGGTTGTACCACAACATAGAACAGAAGGAAATAAATTGCTGTGTGCGAGCATCGTCTCAACGGGGGCTTTTGAACCTGAGGAGGCAGTTCATTTCAGTGCGGCAGTTATAAGGACAGCCTTTAGCTTTTCCATTGTACAAGTATGTATTTAAGGTTATAAAATGACTATGTTTAGTTGTTAATACTGGGTGGAGAGAGAGGGGAAAAGTCATCAAGGAGGAAGAGAGAGATGATAAAAGATCATGGGAATGGACTGAGCTTAGCACTGGAGGACCTGTAGCCACTACAGGATGTAAATCAATGTATGATTGGCCCCTCCAGAATCGTTATCACTTAATTCTTTCACACTTTGCACTTTCAGATACACTTGGCAAAGAGGTGAAATGGCCAGACTCCATGTACCCTGACCTTCACATGCCTTATGCCCCCTCCTGGTCCCTTCATTGGGCCTACAGGGATGGTCATCTTGTCAACCTGCCTGTGAGCCTGTTAGTAGAAGGAGATGTCATTGCTTTGAGGCCGGGCCAGGAGTCATTTGCTTCTCTGAGAGGGATTAAGGTAACTTGCTTGTCTTATTTCCCTGGGCTGTAACAATATATTTCCCAGGATTTTCTTGCTAATACTTGTAATTCCCAGTGTACAGATTATTGGAGTGTTTGATTTCTTCTGACCTTGAAAACAGCTTGAAATTCCAGTTCAGTCAAGGACGGTGCTTCATTAGACAGACTGCATTTTCTCTATGACATCCCAAACTCAGTGGACAGGAGGTACTAATGTGATACCAAAGCACCATATTTCCATCCCTTCTGGGTCAAGGAGACATTGTAATGTGCTGCTAAATATGTGGAGTGAGTCTATCCAGTAGGATGATACAACATACAAACCCCCTACTTTATCCTCGTTTTTATGTGGAGAAATAAAATTTGTCTGCTTTGACCTTCTCCTTACTACTGATTTATTATAAAAGAAGATAATATAAAATACCTGGGGTAGAAGTAAATCAACAAATCAATTACAAGATCTATGCAAAGATTCTGCTGCTTGAAGAACATTGGAAAAAGTTTAAAGCTTGAAATTTACCTTTGTTGGTTTTTATCATAACTTTCACTCCAAATGCCAATTGTCATGAAATAACCAGATGTGCTTGACCATAAGCTTTTCATTTTGCTTCAAGTTTGAAGCAATAGTTTAGCTAATGAATTTTTGAGACCTGAGACGGGGAACTGTGACAAACACATATTGTGTCACTTGCAGTGGGAGGGATCCTGCTGGACTAAACCTCCAGTCCCTTGCAGCAGGATTCCACCGAGGCCCCAGCTGTACAGCCTTTGGGCTCTCTGACTTTTTTTTTTAGGATGATGAGCACATAGTTCTGGAGCCAGGAGATCTGTTTCCACCTTTCTCACCTCCGCCCTCCCCAAGGGGAGAAGTGAAGAAGGGACCTCAGAACCCTCAGCTGTATCGTCTCTTCCGTGTCTTGAAGACCCCAATAATTGATAATGTCAGGTGGGTTAAATACAGTGCACAATGCCTGCACAGCTTGTCTATGTCCTTTTTGCTGCCCTGTGTCAGCAAAGAATGAAACTTAATCAGTCCAGGACAGGAATGTTCAAATACGCTGCGCTGTGTTTTCTTTACTACCTGGGAATGCTGTAAGTCTCCTACTGTCTCTCTTCAATTGTGCTCCTTAACTAGTAGGTTAGGCTAATACATAAAACTGCATATATGCTAAGTATTACTGTTCAGCTCGTTACTTTCCAACTAAATTTGAACAATGCAGGGAGGTCATTTATTTCATGCATTTGATGTAACCAGCAATACGACACCCTTTGGTCAACTGGAGATACAGATATCTGAATGTCCTGTTGGAGTTTCAGTACGCACTGGGGCATTGGAGCCTTCCTGTTAAGCGGGTGAGGAGACCTGGGGAGTTTGCTCAACAGCATGGCAAATTTACCATGGCAAGTGCAACACTATTATTGTAGAACTTGGCTTCTCTTTTGAAGGTCATCCATCATAGCATAGGGTGAGCACAGTGTTCTAATCAGGTCTGCTAGGAGGTTTATATCTGAGGAAACTGCAGGGTTGGGGTCCTGGTTGCTAAAATCTCAAGCTGTTTTCCGTTTTTTTAGGTGGTGTCTGGAAATGGCTTTGTCACGTCCTGTGACAGCCCTGGATAATGAGAGATTCACTGTACAGTCAGTGATGCTGAAATATGCTGTCCCTATTGTACTGGTAGGTCTCATTTCAAGCCTTTGTTGTTGAATATAGCCATGTTTTGTCAATAAAAGTGAAGAATTTGCAGCCATCGGCAGGAAATTGTGGCCAGGCCCTAACTCATGCAGCTGACTCTGTATATCTTGGGTAGTTCAGAGAAGCAAAGATGCTGAGCCATCTAGCTGTGAGAGTGGAGGGAGGAACTGCAGCAGCAGACCAAGTATATCTTCTAGACTTTCCCAGGACTGAGAATGTTACAAGGCAGTGAAAACTCTCTACAAGTGCTAGTAGTTAGCTGACAGTGTCATCTCTCTGAATTGCAGGCTGGCTTCCTGATCACTAATGCTGTGCGCTTCATTTTCAAAGCTCCTGGAATTGCTTCTTGGCAGTACACTCTTCTTCAGCTACAGGTAAAAGAGAGCTTTGAGCTCCACTACACCTCCTCCCCAGAGCACCACTGAGACTGATTCCCTCCCTCAGAGACTTGCTTCATCCTGTGCCAGCATCTTATGCATGCCTTTGTGCATGCTGGATCCAGGAGCTCTCAGTGGAGCAGAACAACAGCTCTACCCTGGCTGTTCCTCCTAGACTGCCCTTTACGTTGTTTGCTCTCTCTCACTTGCCATGTATGTATATATGTGTGCGTGTGTGTATATATACGGTATCCTTTGCCTTTAAACTTGTAAGAGTTTATGCCAAATTCAGCAGGAAAAACAGCTGCAAGTTGGTGTGATTTATTCACGGCCTCTTTCATTATAAACCCCTCAGAGGGGGTGTGTCTCCCCTCCTATGTTTCTCCCTGTGTTGCACTGCTTCCAGTGCAAGCAGTCTCCTTCCTTCCTGCCATTGCCTTTTACCCATCCTCTCACTGTAGTGCAAAAGATGTGATGTGAGAGGTCTGACTTCGTGTTGTCTCTGTGCTTGCTGGTGATTACAATTTTTTTTCAGGTGAATGGTGTCCTACCCATCCTTCCGTTGCTCTTTCCTGTCCTGTGGGTTCTTGCTACAGCCTTTGGAGAAGCCAGAGTCTTGGCCCAGATGAGCAAGGCCTCATCCACCTCACTGGTAGGTATCTCTCCACATCAAACCATTGCAGAGAAAAGGGCAGGAGATGAGAAGGGCTCTGTGGTGAAGTGAGCACAGTGAATTCAGTAGATGTGTCCACATAATTGTAACAGCTTGTTGGATCTTTGGTTGTCACAGCTATGCCCTCTCCCTGGACCACAGTGTGACTTCTTCTTGAACAGATGTTTTAATTTTTTCAATTTGTCTAAAGATATCCCAAGGTGATAGGAAGCCCCAGTGATTCCATAAATCTCTTCAGGGCATGTGCTTTCTTTCAGCTAAACATAATCTGTTAGAGGGGTTAACACAGAGATAAATGCCCTGTGGTGGCTATAAATACAGAATGTTTAGCCACTGAGAAGGAATGGGATACATGAGACCCTCTGCAATCCCCTGTTTTAACGTGGGCTGAAAACCCTTTCTTGAGGCTCTGGGGCTTTGCTTGCAGGCATGGCCTTTGCAGTGGATCAGGGAGTAAGAGGAATTTCTGATGGTTGTGCTGGTTTGGGGAGTGGAGTTTGGTAGTCTGATGGGTGTGTGATCCTGAACTGGATGTGATGGTGGGTGTCTCTTGTTCTCTCCTGGTGGCATTGTTGGTGAGATGCACTGTGCTACGTTTGTCTTCTCTGCTGACTTCTGTTATGCCTGTACTTTGACAGAGTTTCTCTCTCTTTCTTGTCCCCTTGGCCTCTGTGGCCATGGGTCTGTTTTCTATTCTTTTCCCCATAGGAAAAGCTGCCTGTGTCCTGGGAGGGAGGACATATGTTACCTCCCTCAGCGGCGTTTGCACCTTTTCAGTGTTTTCTCCACTTTACTTTTCCTGCCCATTCTCAGCATCACTTGGTTTCTGTCTTTGGAACCTTCCTCTTTCCCTTCACACCTTGCTATTTGAGTGGGAAAAGCCAGAGCTCCTTGGCTTCCCTGCTTCATCATTCTTAACATACCCATTTGCCCTGTCACTCATACTTGCACCTTCCTTGTGTTCTTTCCTGTCTTCTCCTTTTTCTTGTCCAGGCAACTCACTCTGTCCAGCCAGCTCTTCCTGTGACATCTCAAACACGATCCTCCATCCTTGCTGCTGCAGAACAACCGTTATGATGTGCCTTGGTCATTCTCCCCCTTGACTAGGGCAGTCTTCTCTTGGCCTCTCTATTTCACTCCTTCCTTCTCTTTACTCTGTTCAAAATGTAGCAGGTAAGACCCTCTTCCTCCCTCATCACTTGGCCCATGTGACTCTCTTCACCTTCTGCCCCCTCCCATCATGTTCAAGCTGTTTGATTCCCAGTTTTTCAAGGCCATAGATGACCCTTGTGACTGGTTAGTCAGACAACCTGCACAAATCAGTGCGCCCCTGCCCCCCAAATGAGCCCCTGCCTCAAGTTGCATTACTACAGTTGGACTACAGCAGCATTCCTTTTAGAAAGGAATTTGATGTTGGTTTGAAAACATTTGTACTGCCTTTGATAGGTTGTTTCAGTAATTATTTACCTTCACTGTTAAAAATGGACATTCTATGTTAGTGGGAATTTTTGTAGTATCTGATTTCCAGCCCTTGGAATATTTACATCTTTTGTCTCCTAGATTTAAGAGAACGTCAATCAAATTTCTGGTCTGTTGTAGCTACTCACATTCCCTTTTACCATCTCTTTGGTTAAGTAAACAGTTTAAGCACCTTGAATCACTATAAGCATATTTTCCAAGCCTCTGATCTTTCTCTTGGCTTTCCTCTTAGCTTTTTCCAGTGCTTCAGGATCACTGTAGAATTATGAATCTCCAAAACCCACAAAGTATTCCAGTAACAGTTGTGCTTATGCTAAATTTCAGAATAATTTGGGCTTTCTACTCTATGTTCCCTTATTAGTGCAACAAAGGATCATATTAGGTCTTTTAGCCACTGCTTTAAATGGCCAGGCTTTGTTCAACTAATAATCTACAGAGTTACTGCTTTCTAAGATAGAGTCCTCATCTTGTTAAGTCCAACCTTCATTTTTGCTCCTAGGTATGCAACCTAACTTTTGTGCCTGTTGGTATGCGTGTTTTTGGTTATTTACCAAACAATCCATATTGTTCTGTAACAGTGGTCTGTTCTCTTTATTATTGGACCCTGCCCTCAAACTTTGTGTAGTTTCCAGACTCTATCAGTAACATTTTTTAAGTTTTCTTTCAGACTATTAATACCCAGAATGTGTCCCTGCTTGAGCTAGTAACACATCCTATTACAAGTAATTCCTCAGTTTCTGTTCCATTTGGAGATAGTCTATTTCTAATATATTTCATATGCGCTCTATTTCTCCAGTATTACTCTAGTTTTTGTTAGAAAACCACTAAAGCATTTTGTATCAAGTTGAAGTACCAAGTGGTTTATGTTAAAAGCATTACTTTTATCAGTCAAATTTGTAATTTTGTCAAAAAACATATCACAATAGTTTGATGAGATTTATTACTCATATACTTGTGGTGTTTGGCGCTGGTTGTGTTATTCCACTTCTTTTCTTTTAATTGAGTCTCATATTAGCTGCTCTGTTATTCTGTCTGAAATCGAAGTCTGTCTGGGGTGCTGTGGTAACTTACTTTGTTCTCCTTACCCTTTTTAGGCATTGGCACCACATTAGCTTTCTTCCATTGCACTGGGACTTAATCCATGCCTCAAGCCTTGTGCAAAATCATCAGTAACAGTCAGAAAGTTGTCCAGACCTGCTAATTTAAACATATTTACTTTCAGTAACTAGTGTTAGAATGGAAAATATTTCATAGTTATCATATGGTATGATTATCTCACTGAATAAGGAATAGCAATATTTATTTAACACATCTGCCTTGCCTGTAATATTATTTGCAATTTCACTGTCTTCAACAAGCAGTGGACTGGTTTTAGTTACTTGCTGGTATACTTTTTCTTATTTTTAAGTTAATTTTTACTTCTATTTTCACTTCCACTCAAAACTGGACTTTTTATTTTTACTATGGGATTGTTGCTTTTTAAAATTTTAATAAATATTGTTAAACAGTTCCTAATTATCCTTCATAGTTCTCAGTTTAAATTATTTCTGACAAATCTGTCTTGGCTTTTTTCAGCTTTGTTAAACTGATCCTTTTTAAAGTGCCAGATATATGCATTATTATTTGGGCTGTCATTTTATTTACATACAAATGTAATTGCCATATTCAGTTATGCTTATGAATATACTTAAATTTAAACTGTTTTTCAAAATTACATCTACTGTGGAATTCCTTTGTGCTGGATGCACAAATTTTGTGTTAGTGAGTTTCTCAGTGTAATTCTAAGAGCCCCATGGTAGTGCCCTGCTATAATTTCTTTTCATTTCCTATCCACATCCCATTCATATCACCTCATTCCTCTGTGTCCATTGTGTTCCAGGCACCTGTTTTTACAACCACTCTTCTAGCTCCCTTCTTTTAACTGACCCATATAGCTTAAAAACATATCAGTCAGTCCTGGCTCTTTCTGTCTAAAAATAAGCATCCAGAAAGAGCCTCCTCTGGGTCTAATTGCTATTATTTTCTCTGTAGACATTTAGGTAATGACTGTGTGTTCTTCTGTGATGTACAGTACCAAGCACTTTGACTGTGCTTCACAAGTAGATAAAGACATAGTCCATTAAAGACGTAATTGCTTTGATGAGTTATTGGTCTGCCTTGGTATAGTGATTCCCACAGAGCAGGACTCCTGCTTTCTTCTCTCTGAAGGCACAGTATTTAGGGAAGGATGTTCCTCATGACACATTTCTGAGCAAACTTATAGTAACTGGTCTCTTCTCTTGCTGCAGCTTGCTAAGTTTTCAGAGGACACTCTCAGCAGCTACACAGAGATGGTATCTTCTCAGGTACTATTATTATGAATTGTTTTCTCCCATCTTCACTGCAGAACTTCATGACATCCTTTCCCTTCCTCTCCGATCTCCTGCTTGTTCCTAGACCCTTTTTAATTGTGTCAGTTGCTCATTGTCGCTCATTTGCTGCTTTAATTGCTATGCATGCAGGTTGCATGTCTTTCCCCTACACCTTCCCATGTAAATGCTGCTCTGCTGACCAGAGACTGAGGTGACTTTGATAGAGTCCAGTTATGCTTTTCTGAATATTGCAAATGGTTTGAAATAAGCTTTTTCTGTCTTGAAGAAAGTACCTCTTTCAAGTTGTCCTCTTCCAGGAGTAAAATAAATTTTTTATGGTGTGTGTCAGAAAGAAGGGAAGTATTTTGCTTGTACCAGAAAAGCCTCCTTCAAGCCAAAACTAAAGAACAGAGGGGGTGGCGGTCAGCACCAAGACCAAATGTGAAGAGGGGAGCATAGGATGTTCAGGCTAAAAGTCTGATCCTGTTTCATAGGCTCCTTAACAAGCTTAAGCACATTACTAGTGCTTCCAAAGCTGGGGCAAATAAACATTCAGAAGACCTTTTTCTGGGGGAGGAACTGCATCTGGCCACTCTATAAATTGCATCATCCAGATTAAACAGGTGGGTACAGGAAAGACACTTTTCTGTCTAATCTGGCATTAAGATTCCCCTTTCCATAAGGAGGCAGACGGACTCCAGGAGTGATTAAAAATCCGTAGATATTATAAGAATCAATTCATGTCTCCTTGCTCCCAGCCACACAGAGGAGTGCACATGGATGCACACCCACATGCTGCCTTTGCTGAATATTTTGTTGTCTTTCTATGCCAGTTTATGATTTAGCTGAGATAGTTTTCAGGCGTTAAATGGGAGTGATTTGAGCTGACCTTCCTCGTTGAAAAGATCTGCTGCTTTCCTTTTGTACCTATGTAAATTTTTGCTTATGAGAAACTGGTTTAAATAAGAGCTTTTTTTCCTTCCTGGTGATAGCTCATGATTGTTTTGCATTTGAGCTTATGGCTGTACTGACCCTCAGGATCTCAGGAACTTGATCTAAGGAGCTTTGGAGAAAGTGCTCTGCAGTGACAGCATTCCTGAACAACAGCTAAGAAGCAGTAAAATAACGCCGTAATGCAAAACTGGTTTTGCTGGTGTTAGGAGTGCACAGAGAAAAAAATACAGCTCTGGTGCTTGGATTGATTGCTGTCATCCAGATTCCCTGTGAAACATTTTTGTATTGAAGATGAAGGGTGCCAACTTCACATTTTAGTTTTGCAAAATATCCCCTTCTTTCAGTTTATTACCATGTTGATTACAATTCATTTGTAATGATGGAGTAGTCAGGGCACCTTGGCTTTATTTCCAACATTGTCGCTGCCTCAGTAAGTAACCTCACCACAAGTCACCTCACCACAGTGACTCCATTTACCCAGTTTGCAGCATGGTGATCGCAAGGTTAAGGCCTCAAACTCTATACTCCAAGGGGATGAGAGTTACTTTAGGAAAAAATAAACACTGATTCACCCCGAATGAATTCACTTCAGAATTCCTTCCTGTGTTTTTGGGTAGACAAAGGTAGTTTCAGTGAACTCTTATTTCAACAATCAGACTGACTGTTAGCATCCTGTGGAAGGGGTTAGAAATGTCTTTCCCTTGAGAATATCATCACCGTATCAGTTAACGGGTTCCCACGGCGACCAATGTTTATCTTACAGTGATACACTGTGTTGAACCTGAAAGCAGGTAATGTCATACTCCCTTTCTTCCTTCTCTCCCCTCGTCTTTCACAGAGTAAGTCTTTAATTGGTTCGTGTCCTCTGCTTCCCTCGGCAGGAAATGATACGCTGTATCTGGAGCCACTTCCTCTGTGTTTTAAAGGGCAAATCCCCAACTCTGAGCTTCACTTCCAGCTTGCTCCATAGTCTGGGATCTGTCACTGTGAGTATTGCTGAACTGTCTGAAGGAGGAGCCCTACGTGGATGCTTCATTTACATCGTTCATGTCGTCCATCCCTGAGCATAAACTGTTAGCAATCAGCTCACTGTGCTGGAATTAGAAACCCTTCAGGCACCTGTCTTTGTAGAAGAGTTTATAACTGTCTTGTCTTGTCCAAGCAGCACATTTACAGGCTAAAACAGTGGTTAGAGATACTCTGTGGCATCTAACAGAGTGTGTGTATTTTCCAGCTCTGGTTCTGGTCCCATAACCCTCTTGACTCCTGTTCAAGAACCAGCTGGTTTGGGTCCTGATAAATACTAGCTGGTGAAACAGGTTCAGTAGTTGCTTCCTTCCCATGGTCTTCATGCCTAGTTTTGCAATATCCTGAGATAAAATTGGTGTTAAACAACCCATCAATCCTGCTAGAGCAAGGAAATCTTAGATTTCTTGGAGGGTTATCAGGTGTAGTTTCTCAAGACAGAAGGTTGGCGAAGGAGAGATTTGTCTATCCTCCCATGTGTTCATTAAACTTGCGATATTTACAACTATGCGTGAACACTGAGACATGTTTTCACTAAGATTTTGCTTTCTTGGGGGTGTTGTGGGATGTTTTAGGTGCTCTGCTGTGTAGACAAGCAGGGGATCCTTTCCTGGCCAAACCCCAGCCCAGAGACTGTTCTGTTCTTCAGTGGGAAGGTGGAACCACCTCATGATAGCCATGAAGATCTGACTGATGAGCTCTCTACACGGTCCTTCTGCCATCCTGAGATGGAAGACGAGGTAAGGGATACATAATCCATAATGTAGTATGTTGGCTGTAATCATAGTTTGACTGACATGAACAACGTGGTATTATAGAGGGGGCCCTTTGCTTGTAGAGAAGTCCTGTGCCATAATTCTTTGCTTAAAAGATAAAGAAGCAGCAAGGATGAGATCCTCTTCTACAGGAGTCCTAAAGCACCATGTGAATCAGTAGTGGCTCATGTTCAACCACTGAATCACCACTGTTCATTTTGGTGGTCTCTTGCAGCCCCATGAAAGAGATGCTTTGCTCTCTGGCACCCTGGCAGACACAGTCCACATGACCAATGAGCAAGAGAGGAACAACTGGTCTAGTGACCCTCCAAAGGCTCCCGATGCCCATGCCCACCGAAAGCCAAACAGCAGAAGCAAACATCCCTCTGGTTCCAATGTGAGTTTTAGCAAGGACACGGAGGGTGGAGAGGAGGAGCATACTCAGGTAAGACATACTGAAGGGGCACACAATTAGTCTTTTGTGGACCTATAAGACAGACAAACTTAATTGGGAATACCCTGTGGGATGCTACGCAAGCTGTATTCCTTGTAACCAATTAGAATTTTCCTGTCTGTTGGACCAGGTTGTTGGTGACAGTGAGGTGTTGGCTTGTGAGGCTGAAGACTTTGTGTGTGACTACCACCTTGAGATGCTTAGCCTGTCCCAAGACCAGCAGAACCCCTCCTGCATCCAGTTTGATGACTCCAACTGGCAGATGCACTTGAATTCCCTTAAGCCTCTGGGCCTGAATGTGCTGCTCAATCTCTGCAATGCCAGTGTGACAGAGCGTCTGTGCCGCTTCTCTGACCACCTCTGCAACATTGCCCTCCAGGAAACTCACAATGCCGTGCTGCCTGTCCATGTGCCCTGGGGCCTCTGTGAGCTTGCCAGGCTAATAGGTAAGGAGAAATTGGGTGGGCAGACACAGAGAAATCAGAGCTGTCAATAGACACTTAATCCTTAGAGAGCACAAGGAAAATATTTCCCTAGTCCTGGTTGCTGAGAAGGTGGAATTACAGAGCTGACTGTTGTTGTTCAGTTGCCAAAAGAGTCTATTAAAGAGGTTGCTTTTGCGAAGTTCTGACATTGTAGACACTATCAAAGGAACAAATGTCATCAAGGATATTTCCAGCCAGCCCTGGCTAGGCTTGATACTCTTCTGGCTCGAGTCTGCCAATCTCATCAGGGTACAAAGAATAGTTGCTAATGGACAGATAGCTGCCTTGTCTTTACAGTAATGCTTTATCAGGAGTTTGGGTATAAATGATGTGAGGTACCTCAGCTCATTTTATAGATGGGAAAACCGAGGCATAGGGGAGATAAGAGGTTAGAGGCAACACTAGGATTAAAATCTGGAAGCTCTTGAACTCACTTCCTGTCTGTCCTTCAATGTCACAGTTCCTCTCTTCAATGAACCAGAAGCATGAAAGCTGTAATTACTAATAACATCTAGTCCTTCCAAATGTTTTTCATCATAGATCTTGAGCCATCTTGGCGTAGCTGCACAGTGAGCACAGCTCACCTACCTATTGCTGGGGAGATGCCAGAATGAGCGCAGGCAAAGTGGATTGCACAGAAGCAGGAGAGAGGACCTTTCTTTTGTTTTGGTTAGAGCCAAATTTTTCTCCTCCTCGTGTTCATGTTTCAGGTTTTACACCAGGTGCTAAAGATCTTTTCAAGCAGGAGAACTATTTGGCCTTGTACCGCTTGCCAAGTGATGAGATGGTTAAGGAAACAATCCTGGGGAAGCTTTCATCGATCACCAAGAGGAGACCACCCCTGAGCCACATGATTAACCTGTTCGTGAAGGATACCACTACCAGTAAGGCTGCCCCTTTCTTTGGACATCCGCTTGGTATGGGAGGATCTTTTCTGCAGAGAGCCTAGAACATGTCAGACTGGAATAGTCTGAAGTCCCTATGGAGTGATAGCCTTGCTCTGCCTATGGCCAGTGCAGATAAGCTCAACAAACCTTAGCAATCAGTGCTATGGCATACTGAGGGGGGGGATTCTTCACAGCTCTGGCTCACTCCAGAATCATAAATAATTTTTAAAAATTACCTTAGATAGCACATAGTAAACCTGTTTTCTGGGACCAAATGGCAGTGTAGAGCAAGGTGGTGGTTTTATTGGGTTTTGAATAGACTTCATTATGAAGTGAAACTGATACTGCACAGGGTTGAACATTACTCAGGGTTTTAGCTAGTGATGCTCATCCTTCTGATAATCCAAATCATAAATCATTATCTTAGTGAGTTGTCCAGTATATTATATCGCACACTAATAAGAAATCACAGAAATTCCATACAAACTCATGGTGACCGTGAATACAACACCTGAAGCCATGCTGACTTCTCCACTCTTTCTACTCCTTCCAATTCTAATAGGATGGAAAGGATGTACAGCTGGGCACTGTGAGGTCTAAAGCACCTCAGCAAGATTTAACAGCTTGCCTGTCAGAGCTCTTAGTCTCCACATAATACCTTAAATTGACTGAACTTGGTGCTCTGGAGTTGGCATATGTTCAATATTGAATCTGAAATATGATTATTATGCTGGCCAGAGATTTACCAGGTAAACTGTCTTCTCTTGCCCAATTCTTCTTAAATTTGTATCTTAATCTGGAGAGGAGCTTTTTCATTTGTCCTGATTGCTACTATCTTGCCTTTGTGAGTGTCCTGGTTTCAGCTGGGATAGAGTTAATTTT